TCAACATGGCAGAATGCATGGAATTTTCGGGAATCAGCTACAGTATGTTTGTCATATAATACCGGTTGCTACGTCCATGAGTTTGGATAATTTAGAAGATTAAACCTTTATTCTGCATTAATTATTTAATAATTATCACAATTTTATTAACTTTTGTATGGAAAGAGCATAGTTTTCCTGCTGCTGCATTTGGATTTGAAACCTTCCTTAATGCAGCATCAGTTAAAATAAATCTTTTAACCCAAGTAAACATGAAAAAATTATACCGAATTGAAACGGCGAAAACGCACAGTGTAATAAAAGTAAAATCTATTTCTCACTTTACACTAACAGCACTATTGCAGCGCATCCAGCACTATTGCACCGCATTGTTTCCAGGTTTCCTAGGGGGATCAATTAAGCAGACCGCAGGCCACGGCTGCATGGTATTTAAGCGGTTGCAGTGCATAGAATGCAGGACCGCGTCTCAAACTTGGGTTGAACAGACGTTTGCCTACGGATCATAGCAATGTTCTTTGGTTGAATATATCATTGTTCAACCTAAGTTCGAGACTCGGTCCTGCATCCTATCACTGCTAGCGTTTAAATACCGTGGAGCTCTGGCTTGCTTAAATGTTCCCTCAAGGCGTCCAGAAGCACGTCTAGAAAACTGAGGCTAGTTATTTGCAAATATTGAACGCCTTGAAATATCTGGAACAAGTATGGCACTTCAATCAGTACTGCCTGATTTCGAGCATGCGGCCACTAACGCTTTTCAAAATAGCTTTCCAAATGTCTGACATCGCAAGTGTTTTTCTTTCATTTCAACCGATGCAAATACCGAAGCATTCAGGGAAACGGTCTCCAGCAAAGACACTCAACGGATGCTACCTTCGCCTTAATAATCTGAATGCTCATTGCACTATCCTTCGTGCAACACATACAGCGAGCATTTGAGATCGTTCACAAATGAACGATTACCCGATCGAAGCGCAAGTATTTTTACACTACTTCGAAGAGAGGTGAATTGGAAGACAACCATGCTTCGCTCTAACACTTTGGAATTGCTTCGAAACCATCCAGGAGGGAAGACCAAAAACGAATGATGCCGTAGAGGAATGACATCGAAAGTTTTCACAAGTTATTGACTCGGATTATGCACCCATCTGGAAGTTCATTGTTGGTCTGTTAAAAGAACAAAGCCTGAACGAAACGAAGTTCAAGCAGCTCACTGCAGGCCAGCCGCAATTGGCACAAAAGAAGAAACACTTTGATTCAACTCAGCGTATTGTCAGGATAGTTGGTTCCATTTCTGATAGATATTTCGATGAACCTGTGAACAGTGACGCCAATTTGCAATTTCTCGATTATTTAAAAGGGTTGCATACAGTTTAAATAGTAATTAATAACATCCTCATGTGTTGTATCATACAGAAATATTGCACCGCATTATATTGAATGCGCCTGTGTAATAACCTATGAAACAAATTGCAAAATAAAAGCTTCATGCAACTATCACGAGCTGTGTCTTTTTATTTCGCGATTGTGGAAACAAATGTGAACTAACGCCCAAGACGACTCGTGCAGGAGTCACTGAACTACAGCTACTGTGCAGATGATCAGCTGTGTGAGGAGAAAATATATGTGAGCAAATTAACGCGTACCGACCAGAACACCTGAAAACAGGAGGAAGAATCCCGTTTAGAGCAATTGCCAAACGTTTTACGGAATACACTAGGCAAAGAAAGACGTCTTAAGTTTGGAAGGAAAAGAATTGTCGATCAATTACACTCCTGTCGCAAGTCCACAATATTTACCTGCATCATTCTCCATCATAGTCTGACATAGTGTGAAGGTCGTCGAACTTTGCATAAGACACGAACAGGCATGGTTTTGCAGAGGGTTTTCTACCATCGCCCATGTACATGTCATCTAGAAGCTGACAGAGAAATGTAACAAATTTCAAGGGTCGCTCTATTTTGCGTTCGTCAGCTAAACGAAGGTGTTCGATTCGACGAATTGACATCTGTGCTAATGGCCTTGCATGAACACGTCATGAACCCTGCTTGCTTAAGTCAAACTGATAAAGGAATTGAACATCAGTTGCACATCTGACATCACGTCTTCAGCGAACCATGTCATATCAATATCGATCGAAGAGTATACCAAAGAGATACCATGTCACCAGAACTCATCGCCGCGGCATTGGAATAACCTTGCAACCCGCTGAACTGATGCAATGGCATTTATGTCGATGGTGAGCATAAGAGTTAAAGAACTAATTATTTTCGGGCGACTATAGCGTCTTCGCACAATGATCAGAACAGAAGATCTAGCAGTTGCATGAACAACCTCTCATCATCGGTTTGGAAGCTGACCTCTCGAAAGCTAAGTGAATGTGAAACGAGCACTGCCCAGAGAGTTCTATCTACGTGAATGACCCAGAACGCAACAAATTCACCAGCTGTGAGGGTCGACCGTCTGGCAGCCAATCGCATGAACTCACTTGTCGAGAAGATCAGCCGAAGAAAAAAGTCGACATAGGTCAACCGTAACTGCATTAAAGTATCATTTCTCGACAGTGAAAGTGAAAATAATAATCTGAGGCAATGAAAAATTGATGGTTCTAAAAGAAAACGAATTTGTACCTTCGTAGTAAGTCAAATTTACTGACTCGTGAACTGATGATTGACTGATGCTTGCCACCATATCTGCGACAGTTTTGAGTCATTTTAACGCTCGGCTAGAATCTACATCGAAAAAAGTTTCCTTTCTCTTGTTATAGACAAGAAACCCTTGCTATATCAAAACAGCCAATCAGTGCCGAATTCCCGCTTTCTTTGTGGTCGTTCTCACGTTTCAATGATTTTGCAGCCATTGCTATTCGTCGCTGTATATTTGAATTCATCGATCAATGAGGGTCTGACATCTGATTGGCTACGATATGTTTCGCCTCTCACTTCATGATAAGTTACCAATCATTTCTCGATTGTTTATCACGTGACCTCAAATACTCGCGTATAAATAGTTTCAAATGGAGTCGCGCAGTTAGTTGTGACGCTGAAAAGTGGCGGGAACTTCTGTCGACGTCAGGCGGCGACGCACGCGGTGAAAAATTTCGAGAATTTGTTCAGATATTTTCGAAATTCATAGGTATTTTGCATTTCTTCTGGTTATGAATGTCTTGATTATCATTTTTAGAATACCTGAGTTCAGATACGTAGATACTCTGGTTTATAACGAAACGATTTTAAATTTATTTAGGCGTAGGGGTAACTGTTGTTAGCAGTGTTGAGTTATCTTGTTATCGTGGAGCAGAAATTTGCGGTACCTAGCCGCGGCATTTTTCTTAGACCTATTCAACGTTTAGATTCGATAGGCAGCCTCCAGAAGCCGACAAGAGGACCTGCTGTGCTGTATTTCTTTCCGTGGGGTTTGGCGCTTTGCACATGGGGCATGACAACAACGTGCACATGCGTTATCTGGACATAGCCTATGGATTCCATTCATGACAAAGGTAGCTTGTTCTTTTCAGGCTAAGTACTTTCCCGGTGCTTTCCAGTCAGAATAATGTTTAGTTGAATCGGAAGTTTACAAAGCATTTTTTATGCGTCGTTCACAACAGTAGACCGTAAGCGATTTGAATCTGAGGAGGGCAGGTTTTTCTGCGTTGCTCTTTGGCAACGTTAATCATTGATACATTCTGATGGGAGGTGCTCCAGAGGACAAACGCCAGCAGAGACAAACGGCAAAGAGATGTTCCGTGTGTAACTACCCTGAAATCACACACGCACATAATTCAATAAAATGATCAGTGTTCACCGGAGTTGATCTGCAGCCGGTGGATACGAACAGTCTGATCACTGAATAGCAGATTTTGTCAGCAGAAAGAAAACAATTCTAAAGTTACAAAATTTGTTGATTAGTCAGCACAGTATGCCTGCCAAAACTTCAATATTCAGTCTTTTCTAAGCGTGCGTTTAATTAGCGTATCATGTAAAGTAAATAAGTGTTTCGACTTTAATCTCATCAGTTACTCGGTAGATTTTCTAGTAATCAGTCAGGCATGGGTAAATGCTTTTAGGTATGCAATATGCTTTCTTCGTTTTTAGATAATTCCATCAATCAGAAAATAACTATGGCAAGTTTCTGGTTAATTTTTGCGCTTTCGTTGGCAGTTATGATTATTACTATCAAGGCAATTATATTATGTTTCGACTGGGTGTTTCAACGAATTCGAAGGTACACGAATCCGCGGCTTTCGGATATTGCAATTGTCTTGACAAGAAATTCAATGGAATTGTCACCCAGTGAATACGCTCAGAATGAATCGATTCTCGGCAGCCTTTACGGCGTTCCTTCCATAATCTCCGTATCAGATGCAAGGCGAGAGGGCAAACCCGATGAAATGGTCAGTCCTTCTGGTCAGCCAGTCGACATGACCGGTCGCGACAAAGCAACTACGCAACTTTAGATGTACTGTCCCCTTCGATTTTGGGAGCGAAAAGTAAAATTGTATTAATTCATTTTCTTACCGGTTAATTGATTTATTATGTACGCCTACCTGAGGCGCGCATTTCGTTGTATAGCTATTAAGCTGGTTATGTATTCTTGCTTTTAGTTAATGTAAAATACACGGCTATTTTAATTTGTTCGACACGTTGTTTTCAAACAACGTCGTCAATATTGTTGATCTGGGCATCACAGATAAGTACAATAATTGTGAATATATGTATACTAATGGATCG